CCTTTTAAAAGATGCTAATAATTGTGAAAAAGCTTTAGTTTTTTATACCTTTTGATAATGGCCTTTCGAGGGGCTTTACCTTATGGCCTCCTAAATTAAAAAGATTTTTTAGGGTTTTAAGGTTAACGATGTAAGGAATCTTTTAATCCTCTGAAAGATGTAATGCAATATCGGGTTTTAGTGTAGCTGGTTGCGAAAAAATTTTTTAGGTGCAGCTTTAAAGTTTTTTAAGAAAAAAATAGGGGGTTAAAAGCTTTAAAAGTGAACAGTCTGGCTAAAGGTCATCTTACTTGTTTTCTGAAATTTGCACCCTTAAATAGAAAATTGGATTTAAAATTTCCCTTTTATAAATATTTAACAACTTGTCTTTTAAGTCGGGTATAATTAATTTGATTAGGCAGAGGCGAGCAGTATTACGTAATTCCTAAAATAAAAAGGTAGCATTTTATGCTAGGATTAAGTTTTCTATAACTTTTGTGGATATGGAAAATGTTAAGTTTATTCCAGGTGCTTACAACACTTAAATGAAAGATTTTTTTTTTTTTTCCGATTGGCTTTTTTAAGGCTGTTTGAGTGTGGCAAGAAGTGAATATTTAATTTTTTCCCCCGATTTTGGCTAAATTTAGTTTGCTATATTGAGTTTAATGAGTATGTGCTATGGTGTATGCACGAAATTTTTTGGTATTTTAAGGGCTTGTTGCTTCAAGTGGCCATAAAATGCTTTTGAGGATGGTGGTAATTGTGATGATTTTGTCTGTTGTTCCTATTATTTTTCTTGGGGTTTTCGGGGCTACCTAAAAAAGGGTATGTTTAACAAGTCTTCTCCTACAATGTGGCTTTTTTTTCTTTAAAAATCCGGGAAATTTTTCTTCTCGGTTTTTCCACTTGGTGATCTTATTCTTAGTTTGAGATGTGGAAATTGTTTTACTGGTCCCTTGTTTTCAAGATTTATTTTGGGGGTGCCGAAGGGGGGTGCCGTATTATTTGTTCTTTTTTGTTTATGGGTTGTACTATGAGATAATGGAGGAACGTTTAAATGAACTTTACATGAAAACTAAGTGTAGGGAGTCGTAGCTTAAGAAGAGCTTCGAGCTTTTAACTCGAGTGTGGGTGTAATCTCCGACTTCAGGAATTAAACCCAATGGGCTAGGTTAGTATGATTTATAAGTACGTCGAATTTAGGCTTCGAAGAGGTATGTTTTGCCTGCCTGGTTGGGTAAGTAGCCTAAGTTAAGGTATGACACTGAAGCTGTTAGGATGGCTTAGTATAAGCCCTAACCCAGCGTGTAATGTTCTGTACTTTAATACAAAAGACGAAGTTTGCATTTTCGCAATGAGTTTATTCTCCCGAACTTGTGAAGGTTTCATACTACTTATACTTGACTTTAACAACTGTGTTTGTGTACTTAGGGGTTTTATTGAGGGTGGCTTATTTTACTTTGATAGAACGTAAAAGTTTAAGGTCTTTTGGAGTTCGGCTTGGTCCGGATAAAACAAGATTTGATTTGCTTAATCGTGGTGGTAATTTTAAGAGGAAGTATGAGGTTTTTTTCTATTGCTGAATCTGGATGATCTGTCTGGTGAAGGTTTTTCTGTCCTCCGGTTGTATTACTATGGCTGACTGTCTGTTTAGCCGAGGCAAATCGAGCACCATTTGATCTAGTAGAAGCAGAGTCTGAACTTGTTTCTGGTTTTAATACTGAGTATTCTGCTGGGGGGTTCGCTCTTTTATTTATTGCGGAGTATGGAATAATTTTGTTACTATGTTCCGTTACTGTTTTTAGATTTTTTCAGACCCCCAACATGTTAAACGTAGCTGGTTTGTGTTGAGCATTTTTAAAAGTAATATTACTCGTATTTTTCTTTATCTGGTCCCGTGCAGCTCTACCTCGATTACGATATGACTTCCTAATGATAGCGTGTTGGGCTAGTCTTCTTCCGTTTGTTTTGGGAGTCTATTGTCTTATTTTTTTTGTATCTAAGGTTTAAAATGAGTTCGTCGTTTATTTTGTATAGAATTACAGTGTGTGTATTAGTGGCAGCAATATTAAAGCATTTTTCAAATTTTTTAAGGTATTTAATCCTGGTCGAGGGGGCATGTGTTGGTCTTGGGGCAATAATGATGTATGCTGAGAGGTACATCCCTGCCTACGGGTTGTTTGTGTTTTTAGTATTAGTGGCATGTGAAACTTCTTTGGCGTTGGGCCTAATGGTGGGAATTATACGAAATCCAGAATCTGGGGTTTATTCTTTGTACTCTTACGGTGAGTAGAACATCATAAAGAGCGGTCAGTATAGGAAAGTACGTTGGCTTGTCATGCCAAAAGCACGCATATTTGTGGCGTACCGCTCTAAAGAATTTTTAAGAAGTAAATGATTTTTAACGTATTTTAGTTAAAGTTTTAAAACTTTTTTTAAAAAAAAAATCAAATTTTTTAAAAAAAAATTTTTGTGATTTGTATAGTAAGAGAGGGAGAAAATAATATAACACAAGAGAAAGGCTGTAATAATGTAGTATAATATAGAATAAGTAAACTATAAGAGTAATAGTGTAATGAATACTAAAATAGCCATAAGTAGATAAGAATGAGTTTCCGGGGCTCTAAAAAACTAAAGTAATACCTTATATACCTGGTATAACCCTAACTAACTTATCAGGGTATCTTAAGGGGATAATAATAAGAGTGTTACCTAAGTTTTAAAATCCGGGTTTATAGAAAAACTCCGGTAATAACTAAATTTAAAGTAAATTTATAAAAGAAATTTATGAGGAAAAACCATAGCAAAAGGAACTCGGCAAATATTTGGCCTCGCCTGTTTAACAAAAACATCACTAGGAGAAAACTTTACTCTTAGCAGTACCTGCCCAGTGCAAAGTTGTAAACGGCCGCCCTAGCAGGGTGCCAAGGTAGCGAAATTCCTTGCCTTTTAATTGTAGGCCTGCATGAATGGATTGACGAGGGTCAAACTGTCTCTTGCTTTGTGTAGCGAAATTGGACTGAAGGTGAAGATACCTTCATATAAAAGTTAGACAAGAAGACCCCGTGCAGCTTTTAAAAACTTACTTATTAAGAGTTATAAGATTTTTAGGTGGGGCGCCTAGGAAGTAAAACTTAACCTTCTTATTTGTTAAAGATAACTGTCTGGTGTAGACCCGGCAAGTCCGATCATGGGAGAAGTTACGCCGGGGATAACAGGCTTATCCATTAGTAGAGCTCGTATTGGCTAATGGGATTGGCACCTCGATGTTGAATTAAGGATAATACCTCTAAGGCGTAGAGGCTTTGGAAGTGGGTCTGTTCGACCTTTAATACCTTACGTGATTTGAGTTCAGACCGGCGTAAGCCAGGTCGGTTTCTATCTTCTTTTGGAAATTTCTTTCGACTTGTACGAAAGGACTGTTGAAAGAGGAGATATTCCTAAATATTAGAATTAACTCTAACTAGATATTAAAATGTTACCCAGTATAAATACTTAGGTTGTTTCTAAGGTTGTTTGGGTTGTGGTACTATTAAATTCTTGAGTATTAATAGTGTTTAGGGCTTTTTTTAGATTACTTGCTGCAGTTATGGCTAACTGTAACTTAAGTTTTTGATTTTGTTGGGAATTAGGTCATGTTTCTATAATTTCAGTGAGATTAGATCTTTGTTTAGATTGAATTGCTGCTTTGTTTATAAGAGTAATTATAATAATTTCTGGGTGTGTAGGATTTTTTATAAGAGTCTACATGGGTTCAGAAGACACAGAGAAGCAGTTTAATTTAACATTATATTCTTTTGTCTCATCAATACTTATCTTAGTAGTAGCTAGGTCAATGCCTGTGGTATTATTAGGGTGAGACTGGTTAGGGGTGACTTCTTTTTTGCTGGTAATATACTATGAAGGTAAAAAGTCTTTTGATGCAGCAATAATTACTGCTTTAACTAATCGCATTGGGGACGCTTTATTAATTTGCAGAACAGCTGGTATGTGTATGGCATCCGATTTAAGCTTAGACATAAAACCCTACTGTTGAAGGTTTATTTTTATTGTAGGATGTATTACTAAAAGAGCTCAAGTACCTTTTAGAAGGTGGCTTCCTGCTGCGATGATGGCTCCAACTCCGGTTTCTTCATTGGTCCATTCCTCTACTCTAGTGACTGCTGGAATTTACCTACTAATCCGGTCTTCTACTTTCTGGTTAAGCTCCAATGCGGCTTGTAGTCTTTTGATAGGTGTTGGGATCATTACAACTACTATTGCAGGGGTAAGGGCAGTTATGGAGAGAGATGTAAAAAAAGTTGTTGCGTTATCAACGTTAAGGCAGTTAGGGATCATGGCCTTTAGATTGGGCTTAGGGGAGGTTGAATTGGCTTTTATGCACCTTGTGTGTCATGCCTTTTTCAAGGCTGGAATGTTCTTAAGAGTTGGGTCTATAATCAGGCATAATGCGGGTAACCAATTTTTTAGGAGATTTGGTATAAGTGTTGCAAGTTTATCTCCTTCAGCTGTTTTTGGGTTATTTATGGGTAGAATCTCCTTAATGGGGATCCCTGGAACTGCTGGGTATGCTTCTAAAGAGTCAATTGTTGCATCTGGTTATTCAAGAAATTCGTGATTTATGGGAGGTTTAATATACTTAGGTATTGGATTAACTGCTCTCTACTCAGTTCGTGTTCTTATTGGTGTAACTAGATTAGCTAAGCATGGAATTCGTGACTTTTTAGGGGCGCGAGAAACTTTGATGCTGTCTGCCCCAGGCGTGTTCTTGGTATTCATAGGCTTAGTTGGTGGAGAATTTGTCTTATTAAGGTCTTCTGGTGGGTTTTTCTTTGAATCCCTTTCTTCTAGTGAAGCTTGGTTTTGCCCCTATTTATTGGTAGTAGTTGGGGTAATTGTTGGGTCTATACTACAGCTAATTTTAACTAAGTTTTATGAGCTTCAGTCTAAATGGATTTATGGTATGATTTTCTTAGACTTAAGTTCACGCTCTCTCGTAAGTGAGAAAGGTAGAACTAGATTTTCTGGTGTATCTGGAGATGGGGAAAATGTAGCTGAAGTCTCAATCCCGGTTAGAACTTTGGAGGTAGGTTTAGAGTATTTATCTGATCTTCATAATGTAATTCAGCGAGCATCCGTAACTTCTGGGGTTGGTGCCAGCTTGGGTTTTGGTAGTGCATATGTGGTGTTATAAGTTTTGTGAAAGTTGTTGTTTTTCTTGCTTTGGGTATGCTTGTGTTAGGGACCTTATACGCTTCTACTTTGTTCTTTTTTGGGGTGTTCCTCAGATTAGCAGTTCTTGCAGAAATTGGGGAAAATTGTAGTGATTTCTTGGCTTTACTTTCCTTTATGGTCTATGTGAGGGGAATTACTGCCGTAATTGGTTATTTTGTAACCTTCTTCCCTAAAAAATTCGAGGGCCGAGGCCAAAGATACTGTCTTGTAAGAGTTTCCTATATTACCGGGCTAAGGGTTTATATTTTTTGATCTATATCTATATCTGGGTATCCGGGTCTTGATTTATTTAGCCCATGAAACTCTAGTGGAATACTAAGAGCGCATGGGCAAGTAATTAGATTTTTAGCTCCAATTTTATTGGTTGTTATAGTAGCGGTGGTTGTGATATCTAAACCGGAACGAAACACGCTCCGTCGTTGAAAGCATAGAAAACCATACAGAGCTAAAAGAGTATAAGATCGTTGTGAAAATTGTATTAATTGCTTAAATAGTTTATAAAAACATCAACTTGTGGCGTTGAAGATACTAAAGCATTGGTTTTAAGTTAATGGGGTTATTATACTTAGTTTTAAGATCTTCTCTTATGGTTTTGTTTTTGAATAAAAAAGACCAGTTAATGGCTGTTGCAAATTTAATAGCTTTTTGGTCAATTTATAGAATGTCAATATGATCTGGTCCTGGTATTTCTTGAGAGTCCTATAGTGAGTATTTAGTCAGTGATATTTTTAGGTCTAGGATAGTAACACTCACTTTTTGGGTGTGTGGGGTAAGAATTTTAGCCAGGGGGTCTATGGGTACATTGCGAGGCGATTATAAAAGGTTTGTATGGCTAATGCTTTTACTTTGTATTTTTTTAGTGGGATGCTTCCTCGTAAATATGATATCTATTTTTTACGTGCTGTTTGAAAGAACTTTAATTCCAATGGTAGCAATTATCGCTATTTGAGGGCAGCAACCCGAACGTATTCCGGCAATCCGCTATATCAGTGCCTATACTGTTGGGGGTTCTCTTCCCTTGCTTCTTGTGGTTATTTTCATAGAGTGTGAATTGGGGAGAAGATTTCTTTGATTCACGACTCCTAAATCACACATTGACTGGTGGTTTTGAATTATATGTTTTTCTGGATTTTTAGTTAAATTTCCTGCCTATCCTGCCCATACGTGGCTTCCTAAAGCTCATGTGCAGGCTCCTGTTGGGGGTTCTGTTGTGTTGGCTGGTATTCTTCTTAAGTTGGGAGGTTATGGTATTCTACGAATAATATCAGTATTTTCTTATAGATTAGAAAAGTTTGGGCTATTGGTAATTTCGTTTTCCTTGACTGGAAGAATCTATGCGGCTTTAATATGTGCACGACAAAGTGACGTGAAAAAAATAATTGCATACTCCTCAGTTTCTCACATAGCATTTTGTATTGTCGGTTTGTTTAGCTGTTTAGAAGTCGGGTTAACTTCCGCTTTTATTATGCTTATGGGTCATGGGTTTATTTCTTCAGGACTTTTTGCTTTATGTGGAATAAGAAGGGAATTAACTCACACCCGAAATCTAAAAATAATGAGTGGTGCTTGCCGTACTACTCCTATTTTAACTTTTATGTGGCTTGTCTTTATTATGATGAATTTGGGGGTGCCTCCCTGCCCTACTATTATTAGTGAAGTTTTGGCGGTAGTGAGAGTAATTTCCGTAGGACCTTGAAGCTTTCTGTTTTTAGTTATTTACTTTTTTGTAAGGGGAGTTTATAGGTTTGGTTTGTATTGTCAGTTAGCTCATGGACCAGTTCCGGAGGATGATATTGTAATGTTTGAAGAGGTTACTCCACGTGATATGCTTTCCGTATTTTTTTTGTTCTATCCCCTGGTAGAGTTACTATTCAAGTGAGACTTGTGAAGGAGTTTTTAAATTTTTTCACAGGCTAAGGGCTATATTTATTTGCACTTTTTTGTTTGTTATCGTTGTGTAGTATATTTCAGTATAAAAGATTCAGGGCCCTAGGAGGGGGGATTAGAGAAGGGTTAAGGTGAATCTTTGACTTTACAATTACTTTAGTGCTAATTGGTATTTTAC